TACTAGTATTGTGTATTATCTATAATTTGCCACAACCTACAACTCTACTGCTTACTATATTTTGATTCTGCTATAAACTGGTAACGTAAAATTTAGATATGACAACGCGCATTACTCTCAATCATTATTGGTTTTACTATAGCAAATTGACTATACCTAACTTTCTAGGTCTGGGTCCAAGAAGGCGCCCTTGTCCTACGGAACTGCGTATCTTTTTGGACCGAGTGGATAGAACTTTAGTAGAGCGTGTGAGAGAAAGGCAACACGTCAGAGGGGAAGGTCACCCTCTATTGAGGAACTCGTCATATGAGCAAGATGTCTCAATCGTCCATAGTAGGACAGTAAGTTCAATCGAAGAACCACAACAGCCACAATCAACCAACTCGTCCTTCGTAGACGCAGAAAACGCCCGCGCAACGTGTACTAACTACACGAAACCACCAACATATAGTTTCCCGCAACAGCCGGGCTGCGGACAACTCTGGGGGCAAGGGGTGTGCGGTTACAACACTGACGGCTCGTACACTCTGTGCCACAAGTGCAAGAACAAGGACTCCCCAAAAACCCGTTCTGATAACTACCTTCATCGGCAGGCTCCCGACATAATTTTCAACGAAGACGATATATCCGAAGCTGATATACAGCAGGTGAAATTCACCGTTCCCGATTGCGAAGACATCGACAAGATGAAAAGTTATTTTGGAATGCACGAACTGAAGGTGGAGAACATCACTTTAGAACGTTTCGACCCTCTAGGATCTAACGCCGTAACGCGCGTAACAAACGACGTAGCAGACGAATCCGAGGCTAGGGTGAGGTACGTCGGTAACCAAGCTATCGGTCTGTGCTCGTCTGTAGACCGCATCCTCGCCCTCAAACATCTGACCATCACCATGCACATCTTGTTGTCGAGGACGGTCATCTTGAAAGTTTTATCGCTCTTGTCCATGAGTACAAACTACGTTACTTTGGTGAAATGTTTGGACGCGATAGGGTTGTCCGACGTCAAGAAAGTCGTGCGGCTGATGACCCTCACCGCTATGAACCGCGTGGAAATCAACGACATCCAAAACATTCAGGACCTGCCCAACTTCCCGAAAGGTTTCTCTCAGTTGGTAATGCATCAGTCTAGCCCGGTCAACTGCTGTCTGAACTATCTCAGCGTCATCATCGCAGCTTTGGCTCAGAACGAGGTGAATTCTTCTAACCTTGTCGTGAACATATGCACAAAAGATCTGATCATGTCTGCTTTCGGGGTGTCTGTGCCGAAATCAGCTTTCGCGGTAACCCAAGCATTGGTTAACATTCTTTCGACACATGGTGGTTGCGCTTTGATGGAGATCCCCAAAGATGAAGGTGTGATTAGTGCCCAGCCGGATGGTTACGACATCGGACCTCTGACGCTAATCAATGCTCTGTCGGCATTCATCATGTCTAATCAGGTAGACCCGGCCAATAAACAGTGGGCAGCTCAGCAGCTATTCAAGTCATTAGCCACCAAAGTGCAAATGATGTCAGGTAAGTGTTATGATGATGATAATAGTTTTTTATTTACTTTTTCATTATTCTATTTAGCAATCTCTAAAGAAGGTTTGTTCTGATTTTCATTTTCAACATCTCAATCTATGTTTTTCAGCAACGACTTTCAGTATTTGTTGTTTGAAATTTTGACAAAATTAAATATTTTGTTTCAACAGCCAAAATTTTTTGTTCATAGTTCAGTTCTTGGTTGTCGACATTAACAATTTTCATATTCAAACTCAATTTGTGAGAATTTATCTGAGAATTCAACAATATAATGTCATCAATCATGTTGTTGTAAATTTATTTTTGTTGTTAGAAAAATAATGTGTATTTTTACCTTTCATGATTAATAACATATCCTCCAATATGAACATGCGTTACTTTTTCACATCTTTTACTTAAAACTTAAAAGATATACTGTGACTTTTGTTTTTTTTTCATGTTAACCAACAATATGGTAGACCTAAGCCAAGAACAAGCATACTCATAAAATCACGAAGTTAAAATATATCTTGTAATGTAGTATTATTAGCCCTGAAAAATAGGACAGAGTTCAACTAAAAAAAGTCCAAATGCTGTCCAAATTTGCAAATCATTATTTTGGAGCATCATTTCTGGAGCAGGAATTAACATCACTGAACATCCTACACTTTTTTCGTAGTAGAAAATAGGTTTGATAAATCGTTCGTGACGATTGCGGACTCAGCTGAATATTCAAAAAAATAGATTGTGTCTTCTCTGTTGGATTAGTGTTTCAATTCTGATTAGACAACCATCTTGAAGACACGAACTCTTTGTTGTTTTTTAGCTAAAAGCTTCAATGCAATGTGCCCCGCGTTGGGCGCCCTTAGAAACACTTTTTCTTTTTAATCTAATAATTTTGTGTAGTTCATTCATCATAATAATAACACATATGGATTGGAAATACAACTTCATAGGAAATATACAAGTAGGCATCCATTTTTTATCACTACTACATTCCTCAATTTCTCTCGTGCGTTTTTTGGTTCAAATAACAACAGCAGATAAGTGTACAAAAAGAATTTAGGCAAACGTTCATTGATTCAGTTNTGACCTGTCCGAGCATTTTTGCGTTAAGTTACAAAAAAAGGAGAAAAGCAAGGTGCATACTTTTCGTTGGACCATTCTGTATAAATATACGAGCATAGAATCACATTAACATGAAATATATACAATCAAAATTAAATTTGGCTAGTTACTTGGCAATACAGTATATTATAGTTCATTCTAAGTTACAACATGCCCTTGTGTCGGACAAAGAATTGTTTTTTTACTTAAAGAATTACTATTTGAAGCACTTGTTTCAAGAGAATAGATCAAACAATTTTTTTTTTTAGGATTGAAATCGGATCAAACCAACTTTGCCGATTTATCTTCCTGCATGCCCAAACCGAACGTTACCCACATCGAAGGGCACGACAACAGGGTGTCTACTCTCGCCTGGCATGAAAAAAGTCAAGTTCTAGCTTCAGCTGGTTACGACGGCACGGTACGACTTTGGGCCATCAAGCCCAAAAAACAGCCAATACTGGAGTCTACCCTGGTTTTCCATACTTCGGTCGACGTATTTGGTAGCGAACTCCAAGGCAGGCTTATTGGTCATTTGCAATGGTCTCCAAATGGAGAATTTTTAGCGGCCGCCTTGGATAATTTCGTAAATGTCTGGCCTTTGAAGAAAACGGAAGACTCCAACTGCTACAGCGATTGGTTCATAGAGGACCAAAAAGAGTTCATAACATCGATGACCTGGGCTAAAAACAAAGCGGAAGCCAACCAAGACAAGGATTATTTACTTATTGGTAGGATTGATGGATCTGTATCAGTGATTACCATCCAAAAGGAAAATAGAAATGTGAAAACTCTGCAGAACGTTACGTTGACAAGAGGTGAGTTATTTGAAATAGAATACAATTCATTCACTACTTTATGATAACAATACATTTGTAGCAAGTCGCTTGACTGGTCAAAGCACCAACGCTGACATAAAAATTTGGCAAGTTGACTTGGGTGTCACACCAATAGGTGGTTCCACTTATGTTTCGCTTGCGTTTACACAGTTATTTTTATCAAGTACTTTTCTTGGTTATTCACATTTTGTCTTCAATCGAAGACTGCCTGCCCGGTACTGACGATGCCCAATAGGCTGAAACAGCTGTCTACCAGTGGCTCTAAAATTGAAATCAATATGGAAATGATCAGACAGTTGGGGCGTTTTTCAATGTCGATCGCTTCCCGAATTATCATGGCCTGTAGATTTTTTTCTGTCTTGGTGTTTTCTAAGCTTATTGTGTGGCCTGTTTCCTGGTGGTGTTTGAAAAGAGATGATGCTGGTTCTGATTTGCGAACAACTAGTTCATGTTCATAGGCTCTGTTGGAAATGTTTCTATTGGTCTGACCAATGTAAGTTCTGGGGCAGTTTGAACATGGTATTTCGTATATGCTCTGTGCAAACTTTGAGTAGAGCCAGCACGACCAGCTGTCGAAAGCGCTCGCATATAATTAAATAGGAGTTATAAAGCTTCAAATCCTTTTTGTGGCTTATGTTAATATTGAAATACTGAAAATAAAGGAAAATTAGTTGCATCATTCAATTCATCAGTTCAGACAGAAAATAATAAGTCATTTCCAATTTCAGCGGTTGTGCATATTGATTGGCATCAAGAAGAGGGTCCTTTTGCCATAGCCTATCTTGACGGAACTCTCAATTTAGCTTGGATTGACAAGGAGAATAGTGCTCTTACCTGCAAGGCCCACGAAAATACGATAACAGCTCTCAAGTGGGGTCCCGGAGGCACTTTGCTTGCTACTTCTTCGATCGACATGACCTGCAGAGTCTGGAAACTTAACTATGAGAGGCTGTTTCTTCTCCACACATTGAGGCAGTCTTATGAGCCTGTCAGTTTGGCATGGTCACCTTTAGTGGGGACAGGAAGCGCTCCTTTTCTTCTAGCCGTCGGTAGCAGTTACGGTACGGTGAATGCGTGGAAGTTTTCTGATGATGAAAATAATGAGAATGAAATCGTACCAGAACTGGCGTTGAGCGCTCAAGGCCATTCGTATAACAGCGTTACCAGTCTTAGCGTCGACAGTTCTGGATTGTTGCTTGCAAGTGGGTGTTTGAAGGGGCCCAGCGGAGTCGTTAACATTTGGTCGTTGCATGATGGCTGCCTTGTTCACACTTCAACAGGTAAGTTGGTATATTTCAGTTTATTAAAATAGTGAAGAAGCTGCTACAAAATTCCATCCAAAGTAATTCATGTGTCAGTGTAGTTTCAGAAGTATTTGTCTAGTGTGTGTATATACAAGATAAATGATTATAATAATAACAATAAACTTCATTCGTTGAATAATGTGAAATTCAAATGATGCTCAAGCTAAGTTGAACGAGTTTTAATTTTCTTGCAAATCTGTGTTTTTGAAGCCCATATCAAAAGAAAAGGTACAACGAATCATATTATAAATCTATGATTCACCTTAAAAATCAGACACTCGTTCTTTCTGATTTAATAAACAATTCATATGAAACTTTAGCTTTCACCCCATCTTCAATTCACATCTCACTCACTACGAATAAGTCTCTGAACTACTTCATATACATATTGAATTTTTTCTCGAAAATACATGTAAAAACATTTCCAATATATTACAGTGAAATTATGAGTAAATGACAAGAGAATCAACATAGTCATCGGGTTTTTATGAAATACAACAGTAATGTTTTGTGATATAAACGTGAATTGATATATTGTTAGATAATTTATAAAATATTGTGGTTCAGATTAACATTTTGGAACAAAACTCTTTTGAATGATGGACCTGAGTGGCATTCACTTGTAAAGCCAATATAAACATTTTTTGAAATATAATAATTCATTTGATACAGATAATTTCATTGCATTGAATCGATTTAAAATTTTTGTCCGACAAAAATCCTAAAAATTGATGACATATTGATTAGATAAGTGAATTATGGGGATATTTATATTCGAAATGAATAATCAAATAAATCGACATACTTGTAAGTCAGTGTTGCTGACTAAGAGGGCATATTTCCAAATATTTTTGTTAATAGGTATATGTAAGTAAAACTGCAAGTAATGAGGTCTGAAGCATATGCCCCTCCAGTAGGTCAGTACGTTAGGCGGGGATGAGAAGGGCAAGCAGTGGCCCTTTCCTTTATTCAGAGAGCTCGCGGAACATAGTTTCCGCGCCGATTCCGAGACTTACTCCTTGTAAATAGATATTACATTTTAATTAATGCTAGTAAAAAATAAGAATAAGTTAATAGTCGACATTTTTATATCACATAATTGAATACCGGTATGAAAACAAGTTTAAACAATTTTTTAAAAAATCACACCCCCCCCCCCCTCCTGGACCCGCCAATGTTCGGATAACTGTTGATTATGTGCCACTAAACAAGCCAATTGAGTTGCATTTCGCTTTTTGAATGACCTTGAACGAAACTAAAATCCCAAATGAAGTACATACCTAATTTTGTTGCAGAACCACTTGAGTTCATCTACTCACAGCAAAATATTTTATACATCTTCATTATTTCAGGAAGTGGAGGAGTAAATTCAAACGGGATGTATTGGTTGAATGACTCTTTGGTTATAGCATTCTCAAAATCGAAATCCGTATGCATTCTTGACTACAGTAAAGAGGATCTTTCGAAAAATCTCCCTCTAGCTACCGTCAGATGCGCTCTGCTTAAAAAAGGCATCAGAGGCTTCAAGTTCGCTCCTTTCTTTAAAATCTTTGCGTCTCTGCTCCCGAGTATCCTACAGAACCAATACAACGCCGAGAAGATGCCTGTTCACACCGGGGCCCACTTGATGCACTCCATTTACCTCAAAAGCCTCGCCTCTGTCGCAGTTCTTCTCGAACTAGACAAAGTGATTTGTTTCGAGCTGAAGCCTTTCAACGATAAGGTGGAATCAAAGGTGATCCCTCAGATGCACTGGTTGCACATCTTCAGTCTCACGGCGAAAATGGCCGACAGCTTGATCAAAAGAACAGAGATGCCAGAATCCGTCATCGGTTTAAGTCCAGTTCGCGATAAGGATGTCATGCCGTCAGCCGCACAGAACTTTTTTTGGACTTTGAAGGAAGACGAACAGATCATGCAGTGGGCTTCGCAAAGGCCGCAAGATTGGCAAATTGGAGGTAAGTGATGGTTTTCGGTCATTATTTAGATAGATGTACTAATGCTAAGCGTCTGTTCTAAAAATATCTGTTTAAAAGAATAGAGAGTGGCGAATGCTCTGCAGTATATACAGGCCAAACCAGTAGAAATTTTGAAATAAGACTGCGTGAACACATCTGCAATGTACGAACATCTTCAAGAATCAAACCACAAGATAAATGAAGATAACCTCAAAATCCTACATAAAAAAATGAATCTGTTGGAGGCCATGGAAATTAACAAATCAATTAAAAACCAGAGACACATACCCCTAAACGAGCAACTTGATTTATTTAGGTCTCCTCTCTTGAATTTATGAGTTTAACAACCTCTAGAATTTTCAGGATGGTATTTCAAGTTGGCATCCTGTCTCTCAAATACCTGTCCTTGTGAGCATATCGAGACAGTCAAGTGGACGCACTGTAGCGTCCATTTGACTTGACTGGACGCACTGTAGCGTCCACTTGACTTGACTGGACGCACTGTAGCGTCTACTTGACTGTCTCGATATGCTCGCGGGTAGCGTTTTTATATCGTAATCGAATGCAGTAGAAATTTCGCTGAAGTTCCAGCGAAATCGGTAGCAATATTCTCGCTGCAGGGAACATTCGCCTGCTCTTAGCTACGTCACCTTGGTTTATGGCAACCAGTGGCGGCCGTTGTTATTTTCTTCAGGGCATGATTTACTTTACCAACTTAACCAGTTTATTTTTTTCACTATCTGGAAGTTATGATAGTTGTAGCATAGAAACTAAATAATTTTTGGTCACTTTTGGAAAAGTTAACATCGATGAGTGTCTGAAATTTGAGGAGCATATAGGTATTATAAACAAGAAACTTTCCTCCGTGTGTTTTGCACTCAGAATAGTATCAAAGGAACTAGGATTTCATACAGCAAAAAATGTTTATTATGCCCTCATAGACTGTCACTTAAGGTATGGCATAGTATTTTGAGGTGTATGCAGTAAACAGCTGTTTCAATCTGTTTTCATATTACAAAAACGTGTGGTACGGTATCTCTGTGGAGCAAATTGGAATGATCCTTGTAAACCACTGTTTTTAATGCATTGAATTTTAACTGTGACATTATTGTTTATTTTTGAATCAGCATGCCTTATAGACAAGAACAAAGGTACCTTTACCTCTCCACCTCACCACAATACTAGACAAGCTTGCCAATTAAAGGTTCCTATCCCAACAAGTAGTGAAATCAAGAACTCAATTATATATTTTAGATGAGGCCCTCAATTCATTCATAAATAATTGCCTTCTTCCTGTCTGTGGAAGATTCCCACATAAAAATATTTGAATGTTTTAATAGTGTATGACTTGCCATAAATTTACATTATATTCAAAATAGTCAATAAAGTACTCTAGTCTATTCTACTCTTACTGGTTCTAGGTAAATGCAAAGCTTATCTGTGGGGTTCCGACAGGCATGGCCAGCTGGCTGAATTAGGGTACAGCGCTTCTGTGCCTGCTCCTGTGGAATCCTTCTCGACAGCGAGAAAAATCATCTGTGGTCAGAACTGCACTTTTGTCATTGAAGCTAATGGAACTGTTTTATCGTGCGGTGAGGGTAGTTATGGGAGACTTGGGCAAGGAAATTCTGATGATCTACACACTTTGAGCGTCATTTCATCATTGCAAGGTTTCGTTATCACCGATCTAGCCACTTCTGTAGGATCCGACGGGCATAGTTTGGCACTAGCAGAGAGTGGTGAAGTGTTTTCATGGGGAGACGGAGATTATGGTGAGTTCATGGCTTAAATTACTTAGTGCAAACAGAACTGTTATTCAGTCATTCTGTGTCATAACACACGGTTGAAGAATAGTGTATTGTTCAAAGTGCAAGGATCCATGAATATCATTCTAGAAATTCAAAAAAATGTTATGGCCAGTTAAATTAATACAAATTATGGCAAACAAATGAGAATTTGAACTTCCTATGTTTTAATACCACTTTCATTTGTAACTAACATTACTGCAGTTTCGTCTCACAGGGATATTTTCATTCTGCCAACGAATACTGACCTACATTCGTAACAATAAAATGAAACAAAAACCCATCGAACATGTATTGAAAAAACACACTGTCAGTGTGTTTTTTTAAATATGTCACAATGGATATTAATTATCGGTCAGTTTAGTCATATTATTCATATAAATGTACCAACTCGTGGGAAACTAGTGGACAATTTTTATGCAGTTTCTAGCTCGTGAAAGATTCAACATAATGCCTAGCTATTGAAAACCATAAAATCTCACAAGATTTACAAAAATCACACCAAGAGTTGGCTACACAATACTGGCAGAAACACCTTGGAATATCTATTCAAGTTGAAATTTTTGCAATTGTAAAGATAATAATGAAGCCAGCTATTTCAAATATGATCATTCACCTGAAGATGACTCACAAATCTAAATGAAACCAATCAACAAATTATGATCATCTACCAAATTGTGGTCGTTCACCTTTCATGACCATTGACCTAGTTCTTTTTTTTTGAATAAGTGATTCAAATAGTCCCGTATAAAGTATTCTTTCATTAGTTTTAATAAGTATATTTTCATAAGTAGACAACTAGAAAAGCCCTCAAGCCCAAGCCAATTGTGTGTTTGTTTCAGGTAAATTGGGACACGGCAACAGCGACCGTTTACGCAGACCACGTCAAATCGAAGCTCTGCAGTTCGAAGAAGTGGTTCAGGTAGCATGCGGTTTCAAACATAGTGCCGTCGTTACGAGCGACGGCAAACTGTTCACTTTCGGAAATGGTGATTACGGCAGGCTCGGTTTGGGATCGACGTCTAACAAGAAACTTCCAGAACGCGTGATTGCTCTAGAAGCATACAAAATCGGCCAGGTCGCTTGCGGACTGAATCATACAGCTTGCGTTTCGGTGGACGGAATGAAAGTCTGGACTTTCGGCGAGGGGGATTACGGGAAACTAGGATTGGGACACACGACCACCAAGTCGATGCCGCAACTGGTCGAGACGATGTGCAATATAGGGATCAACAAGGTAAATTCATAAGTTGGAGAATATTTGGAACTCGCAGGGCCAGCTTTTATTTAATTCATTCATCATCGACATTTCTCTATTTCGTACTGATATTGCCAACCTTTTTGCTAATCAATTTTCTTCCGGATATACAAGTCAGTCTTTACATCCTTATGATACCAATATTACATCCCTGGGTAATGTAATCACATTGAAATCTCTAAAATTTACGAAAAAGTGTCCGAACTCAATATCAACAGAGGCCCCGGTCCTTATGGAATTTCTCCAACTTTTCTCAAAAAGTCAGCTGAACTGGGCCTGATTACCTACGTTGATTCTCTGTCTGATGCTCTGTCTAAGGGTTTGCAAGTTGACTCTGTGTACACTGATTTCTCCAAAGCTTTTGACAAAGTTAATCATGAGCTATTGATCCATAAACTTCGTTTATAATGTGTTGATGGGCAAATATTGCAGTGGCTCAAGAGATAGATATCTTATACAAAGAACCCTAATTGTTAGAGTTAATCATTACTATTCTCATACTATCTCAGTTATATGGGTTGTTCCACAAGTTTCACATTTGAGACCACTGTTGTTTAACCTTTTTATCCATGATTTAATCAGCAGTTTCCATGAAAGCGAAGCTTTGCTATTTACTGACAATTTAAAGTGTTTTAAAATAATTAAAAATGAAGGTAATACATTGTGTCTTCAAAACGATATAGATTGCCTATCTAACTGGTGTTCGCAAATTGGTATGTGTTTGAATGGATCCAAATGCCAAATTCTTCGCTTTCATCGAACACATCACCCAATCACTTTTGAATATAGTATAAATAATCGGACCTTACATTCTGCTATTGAAACCAAAGATCTAGATGTGATTTAGACTATACACTTAACTATAAATCACACATTTCCGATGTATTTAAAAAAACTATGAAGAGAACCACTCGTGATTTCACCAACATCACTGCTATTAAATCTCTTTCCCTGGTTAGATCTCATCTCGGTTATTGTTCCACAGTTTGGTCCCCTTATTACGTTACACAAAATGTGAAACTCGAGGCCATACAGCACAATTTCCTGCGATATATTGCCTTCAAGATGGGTGTATACTATAACTATACTGCTTTTAAATCCATTTTGAACATACCTTCTCTTGAGGCTCGCAGAAAACAGAGATTTAATACTTCTATTCAAAATTATCAACGGACTGAGTATCAGCCTCGAGCTTCTATCCAAAATATCTTCACATGTCCCCAGTCGTTCAACTAGACAGGTGCAAACGTATTACGTTTCTTTTCACAGATTCGATTATTCATATGACAGCTTTATTCCCAGAACTCTTCGATTGGCTAACTCTTTAAATAACCTTCAAATCTTTAATATATCAGTTTCCCTCTTCAAAAACCATATTCTTCACCTAGCCGTCTAATACTCTCTGCTTGTGTTGTTGTATTGTGTCTAGTGTTACTTGCCTGTAAGAATTATATTAGTTCATATTGTTATACATTTTAATTTTTCTTAAATAATCTACTTGTTATCTTACTTCAAAATTGTAGGTATTATTCTTATAATTTACTTTCAATCCACTGTATTGTATCAAGTACTACATAGCTCTGTACTACTCATACCTGAATTGGGCTTGCCCATGTGTATAAATAAATAAAATTTATTTATTCGTTCCAAGACCCTTTCGGGTATGGAAATTGTCGAAACACATACAAATGTTATAAATAATAAAAATATACATTATATAATTGAAATACAAAACATATTGGAATTTTGTTTAATATTCAAAAATGTTTCAAAATAAATGTTTAGAGAAAATGTATTCACGATGTTTTGGTGGTAATGAAAAAAGTATAGGGTTACAAGACAGGAAAGCTAAGTTCATTGGGTCCTCGGAAAGTAGTTTTAGGGAAATAGTGCTGATTTTTCGGATATTGATGTTTTTTTATAGTATTCAGCGGTTTTCACTGATACCTGTTTCGTTTTTCCAGGTCGGATGCGGAACTAACCTCACAATCTTCCTCACAAACACCGGTAAAATCTACGTATGCGGTGTCGACCGTGTTCCTTGGCAAATCCATTTGAGGGAACGTTCCGATTATCGCCCCCATCAGTTGGTAGGACTAATTGACTATATTGTAGAAGATTTCGCCGTCGGCACGGAACACGTCTTGTTTCTAACAACTTGCGGCAAAGTGCTAGGTTGGGGCATGAACACCGAAGGCCAGTTGGGGCTACCACACGTTTCCTTAGTCAGGGAGCCAGAGGAGCTCGCTGAGCTGTCAAACAAGGGCATCAGGCAGATTTCGACAGGCAGGACGCACAGTGCCGCATGGACAGCAGCGGTTTCGCCTACAAGAACCTCCGGTGCTGCCAGCTCGGCGTCTTTGACCTTCGCACTACCCAAAGAAATCCCTCCCCAGTTTGATCACCTACGGGCGCATTCAATAAAATCCGTCCGGGCTAGGCTGAAGTTTCTTTACAATTTCTCGGATAAGTTGTACTCTTGCTGGACGTTGATGCCGCTCTGCGCCCAACAGAACGATATGCTCGTGCCGCCCCTAGAGGGCATGATTTCTCCCAAGCTGAGGCCGATCTTGGCGCCGCGGGTGTACACTTTGCCTTTCGTCAGGTGCATCGGGAAAACTATGATACAGGGAAAAAATTACGGCCCGCAGATTACTGTCAAGAGGATATCTCAAGAAGGTAATCATTTTTATTATTTTTCGTCTTTATTTTTTCTTTTAGCGTTATCAACTAGTTTCATCTCTCAGAACATAATATCTTTTGAAAACAGGAGAAGCCGTATAGTAAAAATAACAATACTCTTTGAAAAAGCATATATGAAGACTGGCGCACCTCAAGGCTCAATACTGGGCCCGCTCTTTTTGGTGTATATTAATGATTTGCCCAATGTTAGTTTGGATTTAGAGTTCTTGAATAAACTAATTCATAATGGTGTCAATGTAATCAGAAAATGGTGTACCTCAAATAATTTCAGGTCGCAAATGTAAACCGATCTTCATCCAGATAGCAAAGCAAGTGGTCGACATAATGCCACAGGATTTGAGGTTGCCTTCGAGGGCGTGGAAGGTGAAACTGGTGGGGGAGGGGGCGGACGATGCAGGAGGTGTGTTTGACGATACCATAACGGAGATGTGTCAGGAAATAACTTCTGGAGTGGTGCCTCTCCTGGTTCCTACGCCTAACGCACTGAACGATGAAGGGTTCAACAAGGACAAGTATCTTTTGAATCCCCAGTTGACTTCGGCACAAAATAAAGTTTGGTTCAAGTTTCTAGGTGAGTACATAATGTTGATTCATGAAATTGTGTAGTCGATTGTATCTCAGAATTATAAGCATACCTCTGTTTTGCAGTTTTTGTAGTTGACCTAACTTATTTTTATTTAGAATATACAATAATGTAGCACAGAAGTCAAAATGTGGCTGAATTATACAGTTGTAAATTGTGACTTTTGAGTTAATACTGAGATTTTTTTTCCAGATTTTTTTATAATTTAATCAGTATGACTATTAAGTGTAAGTTTTCTATCAATCATGAAACCTAGATATTTCATCTTTGTAACAATTTCAAGGTATTCATTTCATAGTTTGATGTTCACTGTATCATGGTTAGTTGTTGCAACTGAGTAGAATAATAATCCTTTATTTCCACACAAACATTATAATGTTATATAGGAAACTGTCAACACGATAAAACAAAGTTACTAAAAGTTGATTATACGAATTAAATGAGGCGGTAGTGAAAAAATAACAGAGCTAATGATCATCAAAAAGTTCTGCTAGCGTATAATAACAATTTTTTAACAGATATGCTTTCAGTGTTTGTTTAAAATTATACAGTTGCTTTAAAGCCTTCACATATTCAGAAATATTATTGTAAATTTTTGTACCAATGTATTCTGTCCCGGACTAAGTAACTTTTTATTTTGCGATGGGCACATGAAACGGGTTTTTGATTCTTGTATCGTGGTGGTGAATACTCCTAGTTAATGTAAAATTTTACTCTCATTTTCGAACACATACACACAATTCAAATATATAGACTGATACGAAAGTTGAAATATTATATTTTTTGAAATACTGAATGGAAAATATTTGCCATGCATCGTACAATGAGCTTTTGTGCAATTATACTGAAGTTGACTCTCCCCAGAAACAAACACCGTACCTAATAAGTCCTAATGAGTACCTAATAGTGTATATGAGCATAGTAGGTACTAAATAACTGAGCTCTAGTCAATACTGATCTTAGATCAATAAAAAGAAACTTCTGGGAAATGAGTTTTGATGTCAGATATTGGCAATGACTATTCCATTGTGAATTTCATTACTTTGGACTTCCATTGTCTAATATGATATAAAAAACAATAAAACTGAAAAGAATAGCTGATAACAATTATATTAAGCAAAAAAAAACGCTGAAATGAAATTACAATGAAATAAAATACAAGCAACAATTGAAAATTGAACGATATTGTAATTTTATTTCAGGGTTTTTTGCCGAATATAATTGTTATTTTCAGCAATATTTTTTAAATTTTATTGATTCTTTCAGGGACTTCAAAACATTTTATATCATATTAAACAATGGAAATCGGAACTGATGAAATTCACAATCAAACATTGTCAACCACCTTCAAACAAATTACTATTCCAATTCAGGAATTCATCCATATAAATACTTGAAAACAACACTACTTCCATCACTTTTCAAAGATATATGTTATCTATATTGAACTAGAAATTTTCAATTTTTTTCAGTTTTTGTTTGGGGATCTAATCTACGTACATGTAACTTTACAAGTTTAGGTGTCCCTTTAGCAGACTCTTCATTTTTTCTGACAATACAAGTTCTTCTAGAATTTCTTTTGACAACTTGAGTCCCTTTTTGTCTGATATATTGATATATATTATTATTATCTTCCCAAATCATTGTATTTGTGAAGTTATTTTCTTCTACATTGGAGAAAGGGAACATAAACCATGAAAAGAGGTTATTTATTTTGATAGCTCAATTACTTTCATCGTCTTTCAAGGTATACTTTTCGGGGTGGCTGTTCGAACTAAAAAACCGCTGGCTCTTCCTTTGGCTCCGATGATGTGGAAGTTGATTGTGGGAGAGCCCCTAACCATAGAGGACTTGGAAGACACTGATTGCATGTATATTCAGACTCTCAGAAGCATCCGGGATATCCATCTTTCGGGAGTTACAGAGGAATACTTCCATGATGTCATCCCTCTAGAAACTTTTGAAGGGACTAGCTGTACAGGGAAGGTAAAGATCAATATCATATAGAAAGTAATATGTCTATATTGGCGACATAATCAGTTAAAAAAATATATGTGGGGTACTGTAAGGATCAATCCTTGGACCTGTTTTGTTTCTTATATTCTTTGGCTACAGTAAATTTATTTGGTGAGTTACAAATGTTTGCTGATGACACCACTTTAATTTACAATGGAAGTAGTGTACAAGAAATCAAAATTAATATTTCAAAAGCCCTTGATCAAATATCTCTATGGCTTCAATGCCATAAAATGACACTGAATTTTCAGAAATCATCATATATGTTCATATCAAAAAGGTCTATATCAATTGATTCAAAAGATCCAATTAAATTTAAAAATGAAAATATTAAATACTCTCCTAGTGCTGAATGAGTACATTTATGTTCATGTTGATAATATGGTTATATACATATATGTATGTATATATGTGTATATGTATGTATCTTTATATTTTTTCAAGTTTCAGTTCTGATTTATGTTATAGTTAGTTTTTTGAATTATTGTTTTTTCCCTGCTATAAACATTGTATGTTTCTTGAGAAAATGAATTTTGATTATTTTTTTTTATATTTGTTCACATGAAAGTTTGTTCATTTCGTATTGAGATTTATTACTTCCATTATGAAAACCAAGTTTCTATTAGAAATTCGTTTCAAATAACTGTTACACATGATTCAATATCAATCAAGGTAATATTAAAATGAAATGGATTTTCCTGGAGGATATTTGTATATTTGTTCTTATATAAAATATTCATTCACTTGAGGAATATACGTATTTTATGAAATAAACTATAGCAACAAACAAAAAAGAAATACAGAAGAAATAATCTAGACAGTAAATAAAACTTTTGTATGTAGTAGTTAATAAAAATAATAATAAACAAAAAGAACTACAAACCATTGCAAACAACAGGATTTGCCAATACAAAAAAAAGAACAACATACTATGTTACTAGGACGTCAGGCTCTTAGTAACAAATTAATTTGATGTCGTTCGTCCAAAACGAATTTTTTAATTAATTTTTTAAATTTTTTAAAATGNTGTATTCGGAAATCCCTGAGTATATCCTGATTAAAAGGATGTTTTATTTTTTCTGAATATAATTTATCACGTTTTTTTATTAATTCTAGAAATTCCCTTGAAATCCAATCCTTACCTTTATATTTTATTTCATATTGAATTGTTGAGTCTTTTCTACAAACCTGTATGGCTGTTGATAGTTTTTCAAAGCTATTTATATCGTGGCTGTTTATCAGCTGTTGGAATTTTTGTTTGAAGTTATTTTGATTTAGTACAGAACGTTTGTGTGATACCTTTCTATTAGTCTGTGGAGATTTAGCGTTAGTTTTAAGTTGTATATATAGGATTTTATGATCAGTCTTTATTAATCGAATATGCATTATTTTTCATCATTTGATCAAGATGGTCGTTTCAGGTTGTTCCCATTGTCCATGGGGGACGTAACATTCCTCTGACGTTCGAAAATCGAGCGCAGTATTACGAGCAAGCAGTGAAATTCAGGATTCAGGAGTTCGATTTGCAGGTGGCAGCTATTCGTGAGGGTATGGCCGGAATCATCCCTGTTCCTTTGTTGTCCTTGATGACTGCTGAATATATCGAGCAGTTGGTATGCGGCTTATCCCATATATCAATCATGACTTTGAAAAGAATTGTCAGGTAAGTGTAAGCAAGAATCATATTCGAGTCATTAACCCAGTGACTTCCTTATGTTGAATTGAAAATTAAAATTTTATATGTGGGAAAAATAAACACTTCTCCCCAACAGTGATTCACAAGAAAAATAAATGGATACATCCAATATTTGGAACGTTGTTTTTAGTATGGTATAGTTCAAAACCAGGTTTGTTCGATTGTTGATGTCAAAGCTGGTCTTTGCAAAGAACCGCCTTTTGAAAAGAAGTAGATATTTTTTGAGAAAAAAAAATCGATTTTTTTTAATAGACTTCGTATTTAGTATCGTCCTTTTTCTTCGATTCCAAGCAGAAAATTAATCGCTAATTGCTTTCATTTCAGAGATGAGTTTTTAAACATATATCTAGATATTTTCAAAGTTGTATTATCTGCGAACGTAGTATTTCATAGCTATTTGGTCTGCTATAGATGATCATTTTCATACATCCAAAATAACAGAGGGTCAAGAACTTGACCCTGTGGACCTCTTAGTTCGTATTCAGACTGTTAGACGTTAGTACCATTACATCTTATGATCGTGATTCTATGTGTCATGTAGGAATCTAACCAATTTATCTGAAAGTTATCTGAAAACCCTAATGATCCGATTTTCAACTAAGAATTCAATGCACTCTGTACCAAATGCCTTCGATAAGTTGAAGAATAATGAAAGAAAATATTTCTTGCTATCAATCTTCTCATATTTATATGTTTTTATACAATTTCGTGGTCTGGTTATCCTGGCTGTGTAGCCGTGGTCCAATGGAGAAATTAACTCTGAACATTCCGCCCATAACTACGATGGGCATCTTCAACGGCAGTTGAGAGCACAGCGCTGCAACTTTCTTGTTGGTAAACTCATTAATAATTTCAACCAAAGAGAAGATCGGAACCCATTGCTGCCAACTACCACTGAAGATGCCTCATACATAAGCGATAGAAAACAAATGGTACAATCGAATGGACAACTATCATCCAGTAAAGAGATCTTATCTGGTGTCCCACAAGGATCGGTTCTGAGTCCAATCCTTTTTCTCTTGTATTCAAATGATCTGGCTTTTATTCTAATTGGAGGAAATTTTACAGTTTTTGCACTACCATCCTCTGGCATGAAAAAAATGTCCAGCAATTGAAATATACTAACACTAGTGATCTTGAAATGGTAAAAAATGGTGTGATCCCAATTACTTATGTTCTAATACAAAGAAATCAAACATACTTACAAAAATGATTCAAAATTCTTAGGAATATTTATTGATAACAAACTGAAATTTGATCTGCATATTAGAGCCTTGACAAAAAAACTAGCGGCGAGATGTTTATGCACTTAGAGTTGTCTTAAATGAACTGAGTACATCTACAGCGAAGATGGTTTACTACTCTATGTTTGAGGCTCAGTTGAGGTATGAAATTGCCTTTTGCCCAAAACCAAGCAGTCAAATGAAATATGTTACAAGGCAAATATCGTAAAATAAAATACCTCTCCCTATTCCGAAATCTACTTTGACAAATGACTCTCTGATTTATGAAAGCAAAAGAATATATAATCACGTACCTTCCGAAATCAGAAATGAGAAAACTTATTAGAAATTCAGAAAATTAATGAAAGAAGCTCTACTCAAAAAAGCAATCTATAATCTCGAGGAATTTTACAGTGACACTCTGCTATGATTTTTTTTTCGTAAAGCGAATTTCCCTCTACTCTATTCTTTGTTTATGAATACAGATTGGTCTGTTATTGAAAACTGTACCGAAGTAAACTTGGCAATAGACACATTCTATGCAATAATTTATTCAATAATGGACCAATTTTACCGAATTTTACCAGTAAATATCCACCCTGATTCAACAGGGATGTCATAAACGAGATCAAACTTAAAGATAAATTATTCAAAAGATTAAAATCAAACTATTCAGAAACTTTACGTGATCAATTTAGTAATCTCTGTAGGTCAATAAAAACCCAGATATCACAAGCCTACAAGGAGTACAAACAGAAAGCAGAAAATTTTATCAGAACTGATTCCTCCTCATTTTGGACCTATATGCATAGTTGAAAAGTCACTTCAAGAATTCCGAATGTTTTATTCTTAAATGATAGAGAACTGAAAAACCCTACTTCAATTGTGAATACATTTGCTGAATTCTTTGAAATTGTGTATGTTCCTTCTGATAGTAGTAATAATAATAACCCCTCAAGAAAAACAACAAAATTTCCCACAATATCAATAAATGCCTTCTCCGAAGAAGATATTTTGCAAACTCTCAGAAAATTGAAACTAAAATTCACAGCGGGAGATGGCAAAATTCCGAGCTTTCTTGTAAAAGACTGTGCATACATTTTTGCAAAGCCACTTCAATTAATTTTTAACATGGCCTTAAAGACTGCGTGTTTTCCCCATAGATGGAAAGTATCTAAAATATGTCCAATACTGAAATCAGGGCCACCAAATTACATTCTGAACTATCGACCCATAACAATTCTGTCCAACTTTGCAAAAGTCTTTGAGATGTGTCTATAATAACAACATTTTTCCGAAAGTGAGAAATAGTATAACTTTATATCAGCATGGTTTCATCAATAAACGTTCAACACTAACTAATCTTATGTGTTTTACACAAACGGTCAGCACTGCGTTAGATGAACAGCTACAGGTGGAAACAATCTATTCAAAATTCTCAAAGGCCTTTGATAAATTGAACCATCAAATTCTACTGAATAAACTTTTTTCTGTTGGTTTCGATAGTCAACTGTTGAATTTACTACAGTCTTATCTTCAGAATCGTACGCTATTTGTAGAATACAAAGGACACAAATCTAAAGAATTCACTTCAACTAGTGGTGCTCCTCAAGGAAGTAATCTAGCTCCTCTTCTATTTTCTTTGTTTATAAATGATATTGTTTCAAATATATCTAGTAACATATTACTCTTTGCTGATGACTTGAAGATTTTCAGGCCTATTGAATCAACTGAGGACTGTCTTATTCTGCAAAAGGAAGTTAATTCGATACATGAATGGTGCATACTAAACAAGCTTCCACTGAATATTCAAAAATGTAAATTTGTTTGACTATGCAATATCACTTTAGAATAAAGCACTGAAACTAAAGATCTGGGCATTATATTCGATAAGAAACTTAGCTTCACGTCACAAATTAACCAAATCACATCTTCTGCAAAAAAAATGCTTGGCCTTATCTTCAGAACGTGTAGAGACTTTCAAAACCAAGAATGTTTTAAAACACTTTAATGCATATGTCCGATCTCGTCTGAAATATGGCTCCCTGATCTGGTCACCTATATACAATGTGCATATACAGCAACTCGAATTTTGTCAAAGAATCTTTATGAAATACATGGCTTACAAATTGGATGGAGCTTACCCATCCCAAGGAATTGATAATAGAGTGTTGCTAAATAGATTTGTCAGTTGTCGCAGGACATTTTAATTATGGAACTTTATTACATTCAAGAGGCATGCAGACGGTAAAAACCGGTTTAGAGACACTGTAAAAAAATTGTTGATTAAATAATTCCTATAAATTATTAATACACCGGCAAACCGTCTGCCTTGTGAAATTTTCACAGTGAAACTCTGTTATGATTTTATTTCAGATGAATTCATGTATTCTCAAAATGTATTATTTATATTCTATTTGCTTTTTTATTCGATTTTTTTATGATTTTATTTCAGATGAATTCATGTATTCTCAAAATGTATTATTTATATTCTATTTGCTTTTTTATTCGATTTTTATGTGATTTTTTTATATACCCACTCATTTTATCTATATCTGACATATGTTTATTTTTTAACTGATTAGTATAGGATTGTTCTACTTTTGTAAATAATTTGTGTATTTAAAAACCACTCTTCAACATTTTTCCTAACATGCTTTGTCAATAAGAACTTGATTTCTTGGACAATAAAGTATATTTCTCTCTCTCTAGTTTTGGGCGGAACAATTAGGTCTTATTTCCTTCATTGGGACTGTGAAGGCTGAAAACTTCGGTTTAGACTGAAACTGTTTGTACTGATTTTTTTGACTAGTGCTCAAGAAACAAGAACTGTCAATTTTATCCATTAAAGTGATTCTATGGCCCAACCCATAATTGTAGTAAATGACAACCTTTTATCTTTCTAGGTATAGAGAATTGGATGAAAAACATGAACTAGTACATTGGCTGTGGAGTATTTTAGAAAGTTTTACCGATAGTGAGAGGGTATTATTCATGAGGTTCGTCTCGGGCAGATCCAGATTACCAGCCAACTTAGCAGATGTGTCCCAGAGATTTCAGGTACGTTGCAATTGATATTAGGAATAGAAATAGTGTGCTAGAAGAAACTCTCTTATTTCTCCAGGTAATGAAAGTTGACAAGCCCCCCAATGGGTTGCCAACAGCGCAGACTTGCTTTTTCCAACTGAGGTTGCCGATGTATTCTTCTCAGGAAATCATGGCCGAGAAACTGCGGTATTCCATCAATAACTGCAAGTCGATTCCCACCCTTATTAAGAATCAACATAATAATGCATTGCAACAATTCTGAGATTAACAAAAACCGAACTATAAATTTATTATTGAAATGAAATCTTCAACAGGAATCAGTTAAAATGGATGTTTCATCCTCATTCGAACAACCCTCAAAAGTCAAAACTTGTGAGATGAGTACTTAAGAGGTCAAATCACATATACATGATGATATGTTATATAATACTATTATGAAATTTTCACAAATAACACTTAATTCACAATAGAAACGCTCCTTCAGACATGTCCAATTGTTAGACATGTAAAATCACAGCAAAACGTGTTAGAAGGTGGTATGTAATAATTTACTTTTGAAGAGATTACCGTTAGCATCCTCTACATCGAATTTGAAATTTGCATATCAATATGAAAAATATTTTGATACTTGTATTGAAACTACTTTTTTCTAGAATATTAACAAATCTTTTTCATTGTAGGGAATAAAATTTTGAAAATCACGTTGCGCCATCGCACGGATAGAAGCTGAAGTAATGGAAGACTCATTGTTCTTACTTATTCCAAAAGACATACCGCGTCATCTCTTAAAGAGAAGCTGAACTAAACCATTCACTGTCTTTACTTCTATGGGCTTTACCATTGTCTAAGGATTTAATGACTTTACCATTGTCTATGCTTTTAACATTGTGGTTGACCGTCTATAAATCCTCAAACAATGGCTTTACATTGCGTTGTATATTCTTTGCTATCAATCATGACAGAATGATGATTTACTCTCAGAGATGGCGCAGCAGAACAACTTCAAAAAGTAAGAACAAGAAATGTTACATAACTTCAACCTCTACCCGTGCGATGGCGTTATCTGTTCTATAAAAGAGCAAAATTAGAAAGTCTAGTTGTATTTTCGAAAAATGTATTGTTGGCATTTCAAAACTCCATGTCTTCTAAATCAGTGGACCGATTTTCAACAGCAAACAGCAGGAGTCGAGACCTCTTTTCAACGAGGTATCATTCGACTCCATTCCAATTTTAAAAAATCGGGAGATGACAACTCTCTTTAGATTGCAGTGGTTTCTGAGACAAAACTTGCTTTTCTTTACAAGTCAAGTACTAGATAATTTTAAGATATATAATGCATCAACTATGATAGTAACTACCTTGGAAATTAATAATATTTACCTAATTCACAAACATTTGGATTAGAATTCAGACTGATAAAATTAAAGATGGTAAATATTTGCTTTCTGATAAGACTATTTTTATTTACCTCAGTACTTACAATATTTTGACTTGATATATTTGCAGAAACTTTTGTTCAGAAAACATTGCTGACTGAAATAACTAAGTTATTTCACCAATCGAAGTACAAATAAATGTTTAGCATTTTAAATTGTTAAACATTTAGAGTCTATGTAATCAAAATGCACTCGTCATGTGAGCATTGAAAATTATTACATCATTATTGACATTATTGCACATTATTGTTATAGAGAATACCCAGCAATTGTGTTCCATTTTAAAACAATGTGTGATGCAATGTCCAAACTAGTTGAAAAATAATTTCCAGTTTTTATGTTAGGAATTTGCATTTAAAAAAAAACAGGATTCAATCTGAGTATCCATCATTGAAGAGGTTTCAGACAAAAAAATCTAATCCAAATGTTATGCTTATGATCCCATAGTGATTTTTATGAGTAGGTATACCTATGTAATGTCCATTATAGGTATCCCTGAAAGTAGATTCATACTATATATTTGATAAGTAGGATTGGAACACGTGACGTAAAATAAATCTAATGAAAATTTTCACTGTTGTAAATCCATTCCTAATATTAATGGTAGAGAAGTGAAAAATTATTACTTGATTGCCATTGACCACACGAATGAATTTAGGTTCTAATATAAACATGGGTTAGTTAAAACCCTTATTTTTTGTTTTTTCGTGTCAAAAAAGAATTGAATGAATATTTTATAAAAACAGGCCTCTGTCAATTTTTCAATTAAAGAGGAACATTCATTACTGTTTTTTGTGACTCTGTCACCTACACTGCCAAAGGAGGGTAAGAATCTTCCCAAAGTATTTCAATGGCGTTGAGAATTGATTGAAATTTGAATGCCCTCAATTTTTTACAGTATTCTTTCAATTTATTTAATTCCTCTCAATAGTCAAGTAAACAATTACATTCTAAAATTTAATTTCGTAGAACTGCTGACATAGATATTATAAAGAAACTGGTTATCTTCTATGAATTTTACTTTTTGTGTATATCTCATAGAAATAAAGGGGTAACTGTGGAGATCAAACAATACTAACTCTTTTCCCAATACAGGACTGTGGGAAATGTTGCTTTACGAGGTCTGATAAATAAGGTGGATGTCCAAATTTCGTGGGGTAAGTACATTCGGTAAGCTATTTTTTTATTTTGGTACACTCATCTCGAACATATGTTCAAAGTTTTAGCTGTTTAGTTTGTTGGTGAGAGGCATAAAGGTTTGAATTTATATGCGTGTTAGAAGATTTTATGCTATTATGAAAAAAAAATGCCTTCAAATTCGAACAATAGTAACATTGAAAACCAAGGCCGCGAAAGGTTTGACCATTTTGTCAATTAACATATCACTCCAATGAAGTTTTTTTTTTCAAAGTTGAAGAATGAAAAATAACTTTTTGGGAAGGAAAAATGTTGGATGATATATTTACTGGGCTACATTGATTTACAGTAGTCCTCCAGATTAACTTTGATAAAAATACTGTAAAATACACTTGCTGGTGTTTACACTTAGATGAACTTAGTACAGACATTTTTCAAAAAAATAAATTGGATTATTTTCTTCTCAGTATTTGCATGAACCATAGTCTTCATAGCATACATTTTTGGTTATATATTTTACCTAATATAAATTATAATTATTGAATTATTATTATATGCAAATGTTAAAATATTTGTTTTTATTTTTTGAAGAATACAAATTCTACCTACATTGAAGTGGTCTTCACAAACAAAGCAAGTTGTCTTTATGGACAACTCTTTAGGATCACGTCCTGCTGCCTTCAACCAAGTCCTTCTTTTATTATATTCAAAAGGCACTTTCATGAACGTCTTATTTGGGGTAGACACGGTGGTACTGGTACAATACGGCACCAAACAGTATTTGTAAACCATTATTTCTCTTCGAGGAAACGACAAAATACATGCATACAAGGTTAATTCACTGTCCAGCAATAACTCAAAAATAACAAATAGTAAACACCAAAAAGATTGACAGAACTATACCCAGTGTTGCCATGCTGATGGAAAATAAATGAAACTCACAGAAATTCTCGCGACAGTCACTAAACACGCCTACGTGAAATGAGACTTATGACGTCACAAAATTATAACATATGTTTCTGCTGCGATGGTGTTTGAATTTCAATCGTTCCTGAAACTACGACTTCGAAACAATTTTACATATACTACCATCATAAATTTGTATTTCAGAAATACACTTAGGTTCAAAAATAATCTTCGTGTCATATAAAATGTACAAGTTATTTAGACATGATAGAATTGGCCGATACTTGATGAAAATCCATAACAATAGCTGTAATAAACTAATTGCCAGTTTCCACATTATAAAACAGATTTAACATAAGAAGAATTCAATTCTATTTGGTCATTATCAGTGAATTTTGTAAATTCCCAAACATTTTGTAACCCATACCAGAACAAAAGCACTGTTAATCGAATCGCGATTCGCTAACCTCAGGAGATGAGGTAGGTAGTATTCGTTATTGTGTTCATTATTTGTCGTACATATATCAAGGTGTTTTTGGGGTTGGTCCACACGAACAAACAATGCATTTTTGTCTCAAAAAAGTCCTGAGAATCATATCTGGTGTTTCAGGCAGACAAAAGTGCACATAAATTCAAAAACAAAAATGAATTTATCCACGTGTTCGACTGAGGAAGCTATTGTGTAGCAAAACACGTCTTTACTGATGTTGTTACTGTGAACATTGTTTTATCATGGTCAGTGTTTTAATGAAGAAATATTCAATTCATTGTGATCATTCATACCGTGATCTGTCTCATATACTGGTTACTGGATACTGCTGGCTTGATCGTTTTCAATAAATTGCCTGAGGATTTGAAAGTTTGGCTCTACTTTCACAAATCTCGAGTGAAAACTGAATTTTTAATATGTGATGTTTTATATTGTATTACTTAACATATTAAATACTAAAGTTTCTCTTATGTTTATTAACTGGTTTGGCGATCCAATACTTTATTTCAAGAAGGGTTGGTTGGATAACAGAATCAATTTTTCTTTCAAAATAATTGTTTTCTTGCCAACGTTTCAAATTTGATTGAATTTTTATTCAGGGCTCGAAAAGGAGTTTCTTCATGTTGAAAATGTGACTATTTTAAAATAATCAAACATATTAGATACGTAACAAAAATGAAAAAAACACTAAAATATTTAATTTTCAAATTTCATGTCTGTGAAGTGTCAAGAAAACTATTTTTTTTAATTATTTTAGTGTTTTTCATTTTTATTATGTATTACAATATGCACGTCTGATCATTTTAAAATAGTCATATTTTCAACACAAAGCAACTCCTTTCCGAGCCTTGAAGAATTCAATTGAATTCGAAACGTTGGCAAGAAAACAATTGTTTTTTTCGAAAAAAATTTATTCTATTATTATTAACATTGTAGAAGATTCAAAAATAGATATAAGTACGACAGATACGGAAAAGCATATATGATTTACGTAGTATAATTATGAAGTTAATAAATATATTGGTGTTATATTCGGTTGGAGTGAGTGGTTTGTTCTACTAATTCAATCGACCGCTATGTGAAACGACGGTTCGAGCCCACATGCCGGACGATCGATTTTCACTGCCTATCGTCCACCCCGTGCTATAAATCTCACGTTGAAATGTAAAACCTCGTTAATCCTTAGCCCACACAAGTTTCAACTCTTGAGGGTTGTCATTCGTTGGGAGTGATAGTTGGTTAACGGAAAAACAGATTTATCTGTATTATTTTGACAAAAGATGAGAGTTTTGGTGGTTCTTCAAGTGATACTGTGAAAAACATGCTAATATTGCACAAATCTTCAGGTGTACAGCAACTCTTAGAACACAATAAATTTTCATGATCATTTTTCGTATTACAATGAGATTACCACAACCCAATTCAAGAAACACTTCACTGTGATATTTTTACTAAAGAGTTTTACAAAAACGCAACACGTGTTTCGCTATACCACAGCAGCCCAAAATTGATTCAACCACTTGATGAATATAAAAGAGTAACAGAGTGAAAATTATCAAACCTTTAATTTTGTAACTAATAATATATTAGATATAAACAATACATAATTTGATATAAGACAATAATATATAATTGTATAAATGTGACTGTTAACACATTGAAACGATCTGAATAAATTCTACGAAAGCGAAAATAACTTGGTTATTATCTTAAAATATACATATAAAATCTCTTTTTTGTCCAGTCCAATTGTCAAACAAACAAGGTAAATTTATCGCCAAGATGTCAATCTTAGTAATTACCAAAACAAAAGCCTGACCCATTACCACTAACTGGAATGCAAACATATAAATATAAAAAACAATAATTTACAGGAACAAATCTACTAAAGCAAACGTTAACAGATAATACACTTTTTTAACTTAATCGGCCAGGCATGAATTCCTGGTCATTTGTTTCAACTGCGCTTTTTTTAGNGATTCAAATGAAGAAATATTCAATTCATTGTGATCATTCATACCGTGATCTGTCTCATATACTGGTTACTGGATACTGCTGGCTTGATCGTTTTCAATAAATTGCCTGAGGATTTGAAAGTTTGGCTCTACTTTCACAAATCTCGAGTGAAAACTGAATTTTTAATATGTGATGTTTTATATTGTATTACTTAACATATTAAATACTAAAGTTTCTCTTATGTTTATTAACTGGTTTGGCGATCCAATACTTTATTTCAAGAGGGGTTATTTGGATAACAGAATCAATTTTTCTTTCAAAATAATTGTTTTCTTGCCAACGTTTCAAATTTGATTGAATTTTTATTCAGGACTCGAAAAGGAGTTTCTTCATGTTGAAAATATGACTATTTTAAAATAATCAAACATATTAGATACGTAACAAAAATGAAAAAAACACTAAAATATTTAATTTTCAAATTTCATGTCTGTGAAGTGTCAAGAAAACTATTTTTTTTAATTATTTTAGTGTTTTTCATTTTTATTATGTATTACAATATGCACGTCTGATCATTTTAAAATAGTCATATTTTCAACACAAAGCAACTCCTTTCCGAGCCTTGAAGAATTCAATTGAATTCGAAACGTTGGCAAGAAAACAATTGTTTTTTTCGAAAAAAATTTATTCTATTATTATTAACATTGTAGAAGATTCAAAAATAGATATAAGTACGACAGATACGGAAAAGCATATATGATTTACGTAGTATAATTATGAAGTTAATAAATATATTGGTGTTATATTCGGTTGGAGTGAGTGGTTTGTTCTACTAATTCAATCGACCGCTATGTGAAACGACGGTTCGAGCCCACATGCCGGACGATCGATTTTCACTGCCTATCGTCCACCCCGTGCTATAAATCTCACGTTGAAATGTAAAACCTCGTTAATCCTTAGCCCACACAAGTTTCAACTCTTGAGGGTTGTCATTCGTTGGGAGTGATAGTTGGTTAACGGAAAAACAGCTTTTTTCCTCGCAAAAACATATTTATCTGTATTATTTTGACAAAAGATGAGAGTTTTGGTGGTTCTTCAAGTGATACTGTGAAAAACATGCTAATATTGCACAAATCTTCAGGTGTACAGCAACTCTTAGAACACAATAAATTTTCATGATCATTTTTCGTATTACAATGAGATTACCACAACCCAATTCAAGAAACACTTCACTGTGATATTTTTACTAAAGAGTTTTACAAAAACGCAACACGTGTTTCGCTATACCACAGCAGCCCAAAATTGATTCAACCACTTGATGAATATAAAAGAGTAACAGAGTGAAAATTATCAAACCTTTAATTTTGTAACTAATAATATATTAGATATAAACAATACATAATTTGATATAAGACAATAATATATAATTGTATAAATGTGACTGTTAACACATTGAAACGATCTGAATAAATTCTACGAAAGCGAAAATAACTTGGTTATTATCTTAAAATATACATATAAAATCTCTTTTTTGTCCAGTCCAATTGTCAAACAAACAAGGTAAATTTATCGCCAAGATGTCAATCTTAGTAATTACCAAAACAAAAGCCTGACCCATTACCACTAACTGGAATGCAAACATATAAATATAAAAAACAATAATTTACAGGAACAAATCTACTAAAGCAAACGTTAACAGATAATACACTTTTTTAACTTAATCGGCCAGGCATGAATTCCTGGTCATTTGTTTCAACTGCGCTTTTTTTAGAAAATATTTTACTTAGGTTTACGTATTTTTGTTTGCTGAAAACATACCTGAAGTCAAAACTTAGCCGCTTCTCCTAATTTTGGAGATACGTTCACTTAAAATTTGTACCTGTTGAAAAATCAATTATTTCAAGAACTCACTTTTGATAATAAGAACTTGTGAAATGACACCATTTTATGAATTATAATGTTGTGGACCTGTATTTGTCAATTTCAATCGTTTTCACAGAATAAAACCTAATTTTCACAGAAAAAAACCTAATTTTTAGACATGTTCTAAATGATATTGTCACTCAAATAAAGTTTTTGTTATTATGAGAATGAGGTTTGTTGATGCAAGCCCAAAGCAAGTGTCGTAAATAATTGAAGCGAGTCTTAGCCATTTTGGGCAAGACTTTAGTGCCGAGTTTTGACTTCAATTTGTGATCATGAGACAAAAATACACAAGTTTAATTAAAATAGTTTCAAAATCTAGTACAGAAGAATATATTCCAGACTCCCCATTTCACACTACTTATCCTTTGTATTTATAACGAAATTATTGGCATTCATTGTGGTGGTTGTGACAAAATCATCATTTGAGTTGAAAGAATCTGAATTTTCCATTTTGCTTTTCTTTATGGGAGGTTCATGATCTATCGGCACATACTCATCTATGTCAGGCTCCAAAAAGACCTTCTTGTTGTTGAACCCCCCATAATCATAACCACCCTGAACCTCTTTCTTGTCTCTCTCCAGAAAATTCTTGAAGGTGTCCAACACCCGCCCAAACAAACTCTTATTAGAGTTGTTTTTCTCAGAGAGAAGTCCGTCGTACTTCTGACCCATTTCCTCCAAGATCTTAGAGACCTCCTTCTCGGTGGAGTTCTCAACGTCGATTTCATCAATGAGTTTTCCCTCATAGTCCTCATCGTCTTTGAAAATCAAGAACTCCTCCATGTTCAAATTATCATCTGTAGCTTGCGGACTCGAGAGTAAGGATCTCCTTACTGAAATTTGCTCCTGATCTTGGTGACTTTGCTTGTTTTCAAACAGTTTCATATTCGGCAGAGAAACTAGCAGAGCAGAGAGCAGAACAACCATAAGGCAAGTAGACGGAGTTGCTTTGGAGGTGGTAGAATTACAAATGAGGGCTTGCAATTTGTTGACGTGAGCAATCAAAGTCTTATTTTGTTTTTGAAGGGCCCGTACTCGCTGGAGCAAATTTTTGTTTTCTTCCGAACCTCTTTTCACCCTCTCTTCCAATCCGTCCACATATTCCTTTTTGCGTTTCCTAGAGTCCTGCGCAGAAATCTTGTTTCTGATTTTTCTTCGGATTCGCTTTAATTCGCGTTCTTCGTTTTTGGTGAGGGGATGATGCGAAGGCAGTTGTATTCCTTCTTTGGCTAACAGTCTTTTTTCTTCCAGGGTTAAAGAAAGTGGCGGGTATTGACTCGTGGGGGCTGCAACATTCTTATTACCAGATGTTGGTTCAATTTTACGTTTTCTCATGTTGCCGGTAAACGCTGCAACTTCCTCGGGTGTGTTCAAAATTTTAATGCTTTTTATGTTCAATGGAAAGAGGACAGTCTTTCCGTTATTTGAAATAGGTTGAACTTTTAGAATCTGAGGTTTCCCATTCAGTGGACCTGCACTTTTCAGGTGACTAGCGTTTATCAACGGTTTTGAAATGAATTTTTTGTTATTAGGGTTTTGTATTAAAATCTGAGTTGTTTTTTTCTGAACTGGAGTACTAGGAGTGCTTGTGGGAGCAATTTCTGGTTCTGTTTTGATGAACTGATCGTCACTAGGCCCGATTAGAGACATCAACAAGGATTCATCAAATTCATTAACACTATCTAAAATTGTTCTGGAGTCTTCAATGTTTTCCATATAAGAACTATTTTTATCACTTTCAGAAGTGTAGCTTTGAGGGGAAAGTACTTCATCCAAGTGAGAGCTGGCATCGCTGGATAGATTGATATCATCCTCGAATTTGGAGAAAAATTCATCATCCATATTGTTTTCCAGGGAGAGAACAGAGTCGAAGAACTCTGAACTCATTAGTTCGGGATCGTCGCAATTCAAGGAAACGTCCATTGTTTCCATATCACTGTTCGCTTCTTCGCCGCTGGAATTTAATATATCGTGTACGTTCATTATTTATTTTACTGAATCTCCACATTCATACCGAAAAATGTGCTCACAGCAATTTATTCACGACATTACTATTACTTACTACGTCACCAACGTCAACTTTGCGTCAATCTGTCACTGAGAACTGGGTCATGTCAAAACCATTAAACCCTCATCTTTTAGCATTGTACTTGTGTCGGAACTGTCAAAACGTAAAGACTGCGATCATGCTGAATAAAAGATAAGTCAGAAATGAGTGAAAGAAAAATGCATACGTTAGTACTTGATGTGACCTCTAAAATAACATATGCCATAGAATACCTAATTCTTTGTTCTTTCTATATCTTGAAGTTTTTTGGAAAATGGTTAAATTTTTTTTCTACTTTGAAACTGACTTGAATGTGTTGATCATCTACAGATAAGTTAAAAGCAATTTTCGATAGTTTCTTTAGAATACAAATGTTAATTACTTGCCTATAATAGACTGCATTTCACTTGAAAAAATGTATTGCGAAGTTTCAAATTGTCATAAATACCTATTCAAATGTGTTTATTCTAACACTCAACTAAGTACTAACAGTTTGAATGTAATCAAACTTCGAATGAAAATTCAAAATTTTGAATGGAATTTTCAACGTTTGTAATTATAATGGGTTGCCATGTTGCCAATACTGTGATTTATTTTGGTAATCGAAAACATTCATCTGTTTTTTGAGAGTATATGTGAAAAATATTTTTTTTTTGGTGATGTTAATGATCTACGTTACTGACTAGCCAGTAACAAGTAGTATGTTAGCATGTTACTTATTCACTGTGTAGACACAGGTGTAGATATAATAGTTCATGTTAAATGTTTTTATGAGACAACTGCTGTTTGTAGACGCTAGTATGATCTGCTTTAAAAAATAAAATTGAATCTCTAGAATAAAATGTCAAAAATTAAACTTATGTCAATTTATCATGTTAGGTAGATTTTCCTTTCAGTTATTGAGAAAAATTTCAAACAAAGAAATTAGAATTTGTAATTCATCCAGGAGTTATTCAAGGAAAGTAGGTAGCAACAGCAATGGTCCTTACAAAATTGTGAAACATGAACGACCTGAAACCAAAGGTATTTACAATACTGTTTATTTACTTCATTTTTCGTGATGCAACAATTCACTTGTAGATAACAGCAACTTGGTGTGGCGAGATCCAAATTTCGAATTACTAGCCTCAAATGGATTTCCTCTATTCCTTAGAGGAAACATTGGCATCGCCTGGTATGATAGCCAAACAACAATCAAAACTCACCATGAGTTAATCATGGAACAGTTGGAAGATGTATTTATACTTGTAGAAAAAAAAGCGTAAACTACAGTAAGATTTTTTGCAGGCCGCTGACATAAACGATGGAAACATGATGTGCAGAGTTCAAATGTGTCCGACTGTTTTACGCGAAACTGTCAAAGATTTGTTTCCATATCGAACATTAGAAGATCATTCAGAATTGTCTGTGGTGACTATAACTCTGAAGCCAAATGTCAAGGACATGAGGAAAAATAAGGAATTGGAAACTGAGAGATTAGCTCAATTGGTGAGAACCGAGGCTTTGTCTCCTGTTATGCTATTAGAACCATTTTGAATTTTCATTCTCCATTTAATGGAGACATCTTAATAAAGGAGCCTTTAACGAGCCCAAAAAAATATTGCAAAATTTTCAAAAAGTGAGGGATTTATACTAGCAAAATCCAAAATTTCTATGTTAAATGAAGTTCGAAAAATTGGGGAATAGTGAACAAAATTAGTCTAAAATTATGGCCTGAAAAGGAGTTGATGTTAACACACATCCATTTTTTTTAGTTTCTCATAGCTGCAAAAAATATTTGCGACAAGCTGAGAGCATCTGGCTATTGGGCAGACTTCATAAATCCCTACTCTGGTCGACCCTACTTTACTCCATCTTCATTGGGTGAATTGTATCAAACGGACGAAAAGTTCAGATGTCTTGATTTCCAAATTATTGAAATAAAAGATTGTAAAGTTATATCAACTGAGAGTAATGCTCAAAAGCAGTTTATTGGTAAGAGTTTCAAATATGGATAAGTATTACTTTAACTTTCCATGTTTTTTTTTTCAGGAAGTTTGTTTACTAGTGCCCCTTGCAAAAAAAATAAACTAAATTCGATATTCACATAAGGAAAAATATGAATTTGTGCAGATATAAATAAATATCTACATGTTATTTCAGCAGAGCTGTTAAAATTGAAGTGAAACATGACTTTTTAAATTATGTTGTCTTTTTTTGCTACAAAATATTGAACTTGAGCCTCATGTATATAGAATAAATTGGAACATTACATAGCTAACAAATTTGGAATAACCATGAAGCTCCCTAGGAAGTTATTAAGATTGAATACCCAGAACACTAGGCTAATGACCGAGGAGCAGATGAAACTCAAAGAAAAAATTAGGATGCAACTCTTTGGGATCAATTTTTTTCAGGGATAGTGTTCCTAAATTGTCGGAGGTGTATAACAATATCATTTGGTAAAAAAAGTACAAGTCAATAAGCTTTAGACATACCCTTTTGGAAAAAACTATAGAAATGAAATTACGCTTTTTTGCCAGGAAATCATCTTTAGAGAATAGAAAGAGATAGCTTACTAAAATGTTTACCACTTGTGCTTTTTCATCTACTAGCCGTACTGAGTTCAGAGTACATTTAGTTATGGCTCATAATCAACTCATTCTTCAACATAGAAGAAAATAAGATCCTTTCAACTCCTGGTTAAGGTCAAGTACTATCCTGTCAGTGCAATGGAGAACTATAGTTGTATATTTTATTTTGGATCTTAAAAAGTAAGAGGATACATTCCACATAAAAGTTATTCCAAAAGCAATAGGGAAGACGCATATAGTTTTTCATTTTTTCAAATAATTGAAGTGTTGCTCAGAAATATGAAACAGTGAAATGAATTTCTCTAAACTCTTTCTTCTGCAAAATGTTCTGATTTGAAAATAGTCGACAATTTGAACTCGATTTGACTTTGAATTACTCCTCAGACGGTAGTGTTACACGTGGTTATTTTATGACATTTTGACCACAAGGACATCTAGATTTCTCAATTTGAATGTTAAACTCGAGGAAAACATTATTATTGTAGTCACTCGAGTAGTCATCTATTAGTCAATTAGACATATCAACGCTTTCCTATTAGTTGAATTAAACTTTCTCTGGATGCCAAATAAATCTGATGCATTGGGCACATGGCCCCAGACAAGTACTGAATACGATATGTGAGATTGAATAATCCCATGGAAAGCTGTTTTCAGAACTGGTTTTGATACCGCTTTTTGTGAGGGCTGTGCCCTCTAGAATATTCTCATTACCACAAGTTGTCAACCCAAAAGACAACTAGTTCTATTGGAGAAAACATTGTAATAACAATATCACAATTGAAAGTGCAATTGAAAAGGTTGATATTGGACTGTGTACAAAACATCCTACCCTAACTTTCAATGAACAAACTAAATGTACTCCAGAGAATTATAAGAATCAAATTAGAATTTTTTGTATATCTTATCAACAAAGTGTGAAAGGAAAAAAAATTGAAATAAATTATCTAACCTCTATGAGTACAAGCAATATATAAGATATATAAACACATAAATATATACATACAAACATCAATACATTGAAACTTATTAACACAATTATGCAGAAGTAGAAATATAGCACATGAATTATAAAAGTTATTTATGACGGTACATTTACAATATGAATTAGCTCATCAGTAAGAAATCATTATGAAAATGGCGTATTGAGGTTTCCTGTTCAGAGGATGTAATTTATCAAACTCGTTTTTGAATCAAGATGGTGCTAGACTTCAATAATGCCACAAAAGAATTATGTCTCCTTCCATAAAATCAATCATTTTTTAATCTTTCCGTGATTTTGTATTATATACTCTCCGGGAATGTGGCTAGATTCTCACCGCTCCGTCATATGATGATTAGAAAGTTTTCTGATTGGTGCAAATACAATTTTGTAATAGATGGGAAAAATACATAAAAATATTTGAGACGTCGGAAAATGACAATTAATTCTGAGGAATTAATCGACAACAGTGCATATTCCATTTGACCTGTCAGTTGTCAGTTGCCACGTGTCACTACTGTCAGCTGATATTAATCAAACTATTAAACAAGAGTGGTTAATAATTCCAATATGTATATGGTAATTCTTGAATAAAAACTTTATATAACTGAGATCGTTCACACGTATATAAGAATGGCAAATGATAGAGAAATTCTCCGTGAAATATGGGAAGGTAAACTACCCATTTGTTTCCGTTTAGACAGTGATGAAGTGGTCCATGTTCGAGAACCTGATCCATTCTACTTGATGGTTCCACGACTCAGTTATTTTCCCCTGGTAACTGACAAAGTCAAAAAACATTTCGTTAAGTCCGTAGCTGCTGAAAAATCGGACCAGGAGATGTGGTTGGAGTATAATGGACAACCATTGAAATGGCACTACCCAATTGGAGTATTGCATGACCTGTTGTTTGATGCAGATGACATGCTCCCCTGGAACCTTACCGTTCATTTTGATAAGTTTCCTGAGACCAAGATCTTCAAATTCAGCAATAAGTAAGACCCTTTAATGTAATAATTATAAATAGTCAACTGAACAGGAGAAGAAAGAAAAATGAAACTAAATAATATAATCGGTATCTGAAGTAATTGATAGTGATCATGATATTATGCAAGGAAGTGTATTACTGTATATGGATGATATTGTACAGGTTGCTGAAAATTGTTCAATACATTTATTTGCAGAAGATGATACGCTCATCTATTTCTCTTCATCTGGAAGATATGAATTCTATATAAGTTCAGAGATGGTGTGGTTCAAATATTAAAATCAATACTATGAATACTGAGTTTATGCTTATTGAAAATTACAATGATTTCTTGAATTCAGAAGGATTAACATGAAAATGAATGTAGTTAATGTTGAAACTGTGCTTGAAAAAAATAAATACTTTTTAATACTCTGATATGGCCCCCATTTTAAATACTATTTTGTATTCACTCAATCAAAATGAGATACCTATATAAGCTATAGATTTATCTTGTAATAGAGGCACCTCTTTTCATCACATGCATTTTGGTCTAGAAGATACCTCCATACAGATGTTGAAGAGTTGCTCTCAAAACTCAATATTTACATTTTAGAAAGTGTTATTCTGTAATTATTCACCTTTTTTATGCTAAAGAAAGGATGAGATAAGAAGTGTCTCAAAACCATGTTTTTTCAGAGAAATGGTGGAATCCTATTTCATGGCATGTTTGAAAGAAGCTGATGTTCTAAAACACAGAGGACAAATTGCCAGTAATATGCAGAAGAAAGATCATAACCAACTCTGGGTGGGATTGCAAAATGGTAATTGTCATTATTCAATTATATAGAAAAATCAGGAAAATTTCATAAATTTTCGGTTCTAAAAATGTAACTAATTTTTTATACACTCACTTTATACAGAAATAATGCTCTGTTTCACGTTTTCTTCTATCGTACTATGGAATGCACTCTCCTGTTGTTGTTCAATTAGAATGATCAATGGAAAAAAAATAGATCAATGTTATGATTTTAGTAAAAAGTATGTGTTTCATTCTGTTTCAGATAAATTTGATCAATTTTGGGCAGTAAACAGGAAACTGATGGAAGTAACAGGGGACCAAGAGCACTTCAAATACATTCCCTTCAGATGCTACATTGATGAAGGATATAAACAAAAATTGGTGAAGCCTGTAACAGAAAATGGTTGTAAGAAAACATTGCAAGATCTTCTGTGTGAAATGTTTCCAGATAAGAAAAACGGTAAATTTGTCTTGGGTACTCTTTCTAAGAGTTGCATTTGATATTCTTGAATAACTTTTTCATTTCTTCATTTTTCACAGAAACTACTTTATAATAATATAAACTCGAAATTTTCACTTTTTTCTTGACACAGGAAAATGAACCGCCTACGCTACACTATTGTTTAAGTTTAGAAAATACCACTTCATTTTAATAATTTGAATGCAATATCCTTCATTCTATCTTTGACTATAATGTCAATTCTTCTTATGCTACTATTGGCAGCTGTACAGCTAACCTCTTCATAAACTTCGGATTTTACAGATAATGTGGTGGCTGTTATGTGACATTCGGTGTCACGTCAAGTGCTTCTCAGAAGTTGACAAATGGAAAAGATCCCAAGATGTGAGGAAGGGTTTCAATATCAGTATAATGTCTGCTATTGGGTTCCGTCTTGGAATCTACCTTTTAGGTTCACTACACATCCTGTCATTCTTCTTTTTACTCAGATGTCAGGCTCTCTCGAGTCTTCATTCAAGAATTTGCTGAAGTGTACTGATCTTCCTTTCATTTTCAAATTCTTCCAGATAAATTCTCTTTTCCTAAGAATATTCAACTTTCACCCAGAATAGGTCCATTTGTTATTGTAGATAACCATATTCAGTTTTTTCAGTTCAGTCAGCTTCATCTCCGATAGGTCTTATTTTGTCTAGTAGCATATTCTGTTCTGATACTGTTTCTTTGTTAAATTGAAACTTTGAAGAAACTTCCCATGATCCTCTCACTTTTGGAGAAAAGTAGAGCATACTGCCTGTACATATGAAGGTAACGCCAGCATTTCTTTGAGAGAATATTTTATCATTTTGAAGGTAATTTATCTAGGGAAGTAGACTGACATCAACAACTGTCGACTTTGTAAATTTTTTGCTTTTTTGGGGTTCAATGAAATTAGATGTGTAGATCTTCCTATTGCTTTTGCCGAAATACTCAGATATTTTAGGGTTTTGATTTATCTCTCGGGTTCTTTCAGCAGAATGACTGACATACCCAATACTTTAAACCAAAACTTTGTTTATTTCGTAGTCCACCAATATAATATTTACATTGTTACACATGAACCAGTCAAAAGACATATCAAAGTACACAACACAGAAATAACACAAACTCTCCTAATATATTGACAAGAAGACATTTAAAAAAAATAGTTTCACAGTTGCAATTAAACCAAAGATATGAAAATTATTAGTGGATAAAATGCAGTGATTTTAAAGAAGGATATATATTTCTCAATCGTCGTTAATAGCAAATAAGAGCAAAAGCAAAGTTTTCAAGAAAAAGATTTTTGGATTTCTCAATCATCAAAGAAAATGTAAAAATGTGAGAAATTCTCTACAAAGATGTATAGATCATGCACATAAGTTTCTTTCATAATAATAATTAACAACAATAAATCTGTATTGGTGTGTCTACACTTAGTGTGGTGTACAAACTAGTACCTACAGGAAACTAGATTATTGGAATTTTAGTGTTGGAGAAAACTCAATAACTCCGAGAGGCTGCAGTGTTTTACGGAGATTTGAGAGAAATAAATAAGTCAGACAGCTGTAAAGGATTAGAAAAAAAGGTTTAATGTTCTACTCAATAGATTGAGAAAACAAGACACTGTGGCTAACTTCACACTAATAAACATAAAAAAAGCCATCAGCTCTGCAACAAGTGTGAACATGCACCTGTTCAAAATTACCAATTTTGTTACATTTTTAGATACTTTCAGTTGATATTTTACGCGCCAGATCACCAGAACTGACAAATGACGCATCAAAACTAATATTTGACGTATCATAACTGAGAGTTAACGTACAAAAACGATGATTTGAGAGCGTTTTCATACTTCACACATATTCTGTACTTTTGATACGTCAATTATCATTTTTGAAGACAAATCAGCTAGATCAACTTCTCCGAGAGAAATGCTGCGCTTGTGTACGAGTCTTTGTAAAGTTACAATTTTCTGTCAAGTATTACTTATTTTGACATAATATGTCATAATTTTTCTCGAGCAGAAACAATACCGACATGTGAAGTAGATAGATGCCTTCATTCCTATATCGACAGTATCACGAGTCATAGGTCAAAAGATGATTCGTCGACAAAAAAACTTCTAGTGTAAAGTTGCTTATATCTTTCATTAGTTTTCAGTAATGCCGCATTCGAACGAATCCGTAATTTTTTGCTATACTACAGTATAGCATTCTACTGTAGTATTACCGTAGGCTCATGTGAATTTACTCATTAGCAGGGCCGAACTGATAACAGAAGGGGATTCTTAAACCAGTCCAGTCACAAAGTTTGAGCTTTATGCTGTGGGTATGTATCACGTACAGGCTCGAGAAGTGGGAGTATTGTTATAGTTATATAACAGAATAGTTACTATTCTGTGATATCAGTGTTATGGCAAAGGAAAAGATTTTTGTAAAGATGTAACTACAAGAATACTTCTATATCACAAAAACTATATTGATATGCAATATGCCAATCAAAAATGTTTCATTGTGTTTATTACTGAAACCAAAACTTATGTGTGGAGTTAGTTAAAACAGAAAAGAATAGCAAAGATTAATAAAAAATCTGAGTTCTTAAATTTAGCTTGGGCCTGTGGTGTGTATATTGGTTCGTTGGATAATGTATATAAAAAAGTTGAAAATTCGGTACTTTTGTTAATTCCACAAAGGATTCAATATCTCTCTGACTCTAGGCGAACACCTGTATCTCGTCAATGACGTTGAGGTAACAAGAGATGAATATTACTGGAGTTTTTTCCCAACACCAAACTGTTATTTTAACACCTCGACACGTATTTCATCTTCAAGGGGAGGATTAAACTTCTCTTGTTTAATCCTCAGTTTAGTCTTCTTCTTGAAGATGATCACTTGGTGATCGAAACACTTGTCGAGGTGTTAAAATAACGGTTTGGTGTTGGGAGAAAACTCCAGTTATATTCATTACTACACCAAAGGTTCCAAACAGTACATCACAAGTTACAAGGGATATTCAAAAAGTGGTGTACCTACTGCATACTATCGTGTAGCAAGACCATGTATGTAGCGATTGAAGGTCATGATATTTTTCTGGGTTTTTCAACATTCCGCAATAAACGAAGCTAATTATCAGAACATCTACTTAACTGATTTTTTGTGTTTCGAGAACGGAAAGGGAAAAATTTTCAGAACCTAAATCGTCTAAGAATCAGTATTAGTATTAAGTCGTGTGTCGCAAGTTTAGGTAAGTCTTAAGAATTCATGTTGTTAATACATAAGTACTGTAGAATCATAACTCGCGTTTACAGATATATTAAGAGTAAGTATATACTCGTATAAGATGATACAATGCTCGTGAATGACCGTTTCTTCTGAAAATCAATTGTATCGTGTTTTTAATTAAATTCTAAAGAAAATTAAAATATCAAGGGCGCGCCGCCAAAGAACACTCCAAATGTGTATCAAATATCTTCACGCATGCAAATTCATTGATTTTGTTCTCCGGATAAAATTAACGATTTCAATTGTGGCCTCAGTCTGTGGATTTTACATACATTAATTACATGGATTAACAAACATTTGGAAATACGGGCTAATTCACGCATAAAACAATATTTTTATCAGTCATTGCTAAAGTTATCATTTGGTCAGCTCCCCCTTTAAAACTGGCTGGATCCGCCTATGGTTTGAATACGTATTCAACATACTTTTCAAACAGATTTTCATTTCAAAGTTTGTTCAAATGGAGACGAATATCAAAACACATTTTTGAATTTAAAAGATGCGTAATCCCCATTTCTACGCCACTGATTCTTATTCGTAAAAAATCAGCTACCTATTTCAAATAACAACTTATCGAAAACAGTGGCGTACAATGGTTTTATCATAAATATCAATCAAGTAACCCTCAGCGACGCCACTGGAATTAAAATTCCAAATCCAATTCAATGAAAAAAAAGCCCCTTGTTACTCATAACAAGCACACATAGTTTAAACAAAATAGGCGAAAATAACTGTGAAAAAACAATGTTTTTCGTTTAACTCTGACACCCCGTTACTCGGAAACGAAGTAAGTTAGGACACTCGTTCATGTGAACTTTTTATTCATTAAATATGACAAGTAATCACCACCTGAAAATGACGACATCATTTAAGATACACCCTGTATATTCAACCAGTGCTATACAAGTCAACCTAAGTGTTATTAATTCAATAAATTATGTAGGCCATGACAAATAAATTTCATATTACGTGCAGTGTTAAACTATTCTGTCAAAATTATATTATTTGTGAATTCTAGATTTGTACCTAAATTATGTGGTGTCCTCGGGGTCGAATAGAAATTGATTTTATATGTGGCGAAAAGATTCAAATATTTCCAATGAGCGCTTAGCACAAAGAAATATTCAGTGGGTAACACTGTTACAAGAAAAAAATAAGCTTTAATTTTTCAACGAAATTTTGAGAAAACAGTTCGTATAATTATCAATGAAAATTTTGGAAAATAACAAGAGTAATGTGTGGTTCCAAAGAAATAAAAATCTTTTTCTACAGAGCATTTTTTTTTTTCGTTTTCTGCTTTTACAGCGATTAATCAATTTTTCGAATATTTGAAGAGTATTTAACTTTTTATCTTCGACTGAAAATATATTTTTCAAAAAAAATTTTCTTTCTAATCTCATTTTTGTATGAATTTCTTTAAAGAAATAGATTTTGAAGGTTTTTGTATTATTAGCACTCACCTATGGAAGCGTAGAAAGGCCACATATTTTTAATTTTTATTTCTTGGAAATTCCAACTTTAATCTCGAATTTTCGACTTTAATTTTGAACTCGAAATTTCGAATTTCAACTCAAAATTTCGACTCTAACCTCGAAATTTCGACTTAAATCTCGTCTGTGAATTCGAAATTTCGACTTTATCCACACATGTTTTCATTAAGTATTTGTTTAATTGGAAATTTCGACTTTCATCTCGAAAATTAAATTTCCTTTTTGAAATTTCAACTCAAACATCGATATTTCGTTTAAATTTCGAAA